AAAGTTGAAATGGTAAATTGGCCACCGTAATGATTACAAAAGCTGACGTTTCGAGCGTTAGCCCTTCGTCGGAGCTCCGACGAAGGGCTAACGCTCGAAACGTCAGCTTTTGTAATCATTACGGTGGCCAATTTACCATTTCAACTTTATTGATATATCTAAATTTCCTTTTTGTTCGACGATCAATTTTTTTTTTGGACACTACAACTCCAGACATCACAACAAAACACGCAACCGGTTTTGCTTTGATAGAAGATATTTTCGTTTATTTGTTATTTTTTTAACATATCTACCAAAATACATCTTTTAATATATCATCCTCAAGCGTTGGTTGTTAGTGACCCTTTTTGGAAGCGAAAAGATAGACTGCACTTTTCTTTAAACAGCACTCCAACCATAAGAACTGCGTAACACCTGAGTAAAACATTCCCTTTCTTGCTAAAAACCCATTTACAAAGTCAATAAATAAATAAATAAAAACTTACAATAAACACATTCCGAAAAATACCGCTTAAAATATTCTTTTTCTCGATATTCTGAGACAAATTCAGCTTTTTTGTACATTAAATAAATTCTTTCTTTGTAATTTTCTCCTGTTGAGTGAGGTTAGTTTGCACTAAGACTACAGAATTGAAACTGGAATCCTCTTCCGTCCAGATTCAGTTGAGATCACGTAACTATCTTTGTTTTCCGTACAATAATTTGAACATTGAAGTAGAGCACCTCTCATAAAAATAATGCACCAATCCATTCTAGGCTTCCACACCCCTTCCCCCCCCCTCCCAGCTAACCCACGAAAAACCCAACAGCAGCACTAAAAACTAATGCGCAACTTTGCTAAATTCTACAACAATCGTTATTCACACAAAGAATCCTTTAATAACAAAACTTGTGCTTGAGTAGGGTATTTGAACGCAGTTTCGGTCCAGGAGGCGGGAATCTGAACCAACCAATCTTGTAAAGTTCAAATGCCTGGGGGAGGGGGTTACTGGGGAGGAATGTTGAAGCTCCGAACTCATCGACGCATGAATTTCTCAGAAAGGTAAGTACACCTATCGCATATTTTTATGAATACTTTCATGTAGCTGGTAACGATCCACAGTTATTGCATTTCTCCATTCCTTTCATTTTTGCCGCCAACATTTTTGTGGCAAGTCTCTGGTGCGCTAGCGCTTCACTGTTGTCATGGAGCTGTCAATCAAAACAAGAAAGGAACATGAGTCCTCAGTGTTATTAAGTAAACTCAACTGAACACCTTGCTTATGCGACGCAGCAAAAACGAATTTTGCAATTTCAAAATTCGTACAGACTTTTCATCGGTATACATATTCTCCATACTGTTTTTTATACATTTCCTAGGGTGCTGACAAGGAGAATTTGTTAACAATCAAGAACTTCTTCAGTTGGTGATCATTTCCTTTATTCTCATACCCTTAAGGTGTGATTCAGGGGTGATACACTAATCACTCTGAAGAGTCAAATGCTAAGTTACATACCATGCCCAAAAGAGTCTCTACAATTTCATCTTTGTATGTGTTGACCTGACAAACTATCTCCTTCTGGTCACATTTCACCCCGTTTTCCCCTTTTGTTAATGTCTTTGGTTTCCCGCCAAACCCAAACTTCTTTCTCCAGCTAGATCTCTTCATTAGTTCATAGATAAGTGTAGAATTCTTGGCCAGTTGTTGTTCAAATGCGACACGGTATGCATCAGCAGCGAGAAGAGCTTCTTCTTCCCTTCGCTGCACAAGTTCGAGCTTAAGAAGGCAAAAAGAAAAAATAATTACAACCAGTACACTTTTGTCCACGTGAATTTTGCACAGTTATTGTTTTTGTTGTTTTTTTATTCATTGTTTACGTTTTTAAACTTAACCTTCTCATAGATCAATACGAAATAATAATGGCTCTAACTAATTACTACGATCACCCGTAACGAATCGTATAAACCTCTTCTTTAATAATCCATATTTTGAAAAGTGAAGAATTAGTATAGGTAATCGCATGGGGCCGAGTAAAATTAAGGATTAATATCACGCGTGTTTTCGGAAGTTGCTGAAATTGCCCGAGTCGCGCAGCGACGAGGGCAATTTCTGCAACTTCCGAAAACACAAGTGATATTAATCCTTAATTTTACGAGGAACCATGTGATTACTTGTTTATAATATAAGGGGCAAAATGTTTTCTTACTGATCTCGCGCAAAACGGGACGCCATTGTTACAAAACAAACAGAAATTTCTTTACCTTGGCAGCCGTTGCTAAGCGATTTTCAGCCAATCATTTTCAAGTAATTTTGTCCGGGGCAATTACAAAAATTAAGAAAAAATGCCCTCTGTCTTGACCAATCACAATTCAGTAATTTTGCCACTTATATGATAACAAAAGTAACCAAGAGGTCTGACTGACTCTACAAAAGTTTCAGTAGACATTTATTTCACTAGATTTGACTCACCATCATTTTTTGACTAAAGAAAAGCATCGGACATTTGCACATTTCCCTCAGCTTTTAGTCTCAACTTGGTTCAATTTCCGAATGAGGGAATGGGAAAGAGAAATGGTCTGCCCCCAGAACCATACCTTTAAGTATATCAAAATACCTAATACCCCACACAAAAGAGTTCTGGTAAAAATCTAAGCATCTCAAATTCTCAAGATTGAGTAATCTTGCAATAAATTGAACTCTAATTATAGTGAAACAGTTTTAAAACTTGAAAAGTGGATCAGCCACTGACCCACTAGTCAATGCACCCTTTCAAGCTTCTTTCAGAGGTTGCAACAACCTGTTCTGCAAGTGGCTGCCGGTGGCGTCTATGCACAAAAATTATGCCCCTTTTTTCCCAACAGAACTCTGGGGGCACGCTACAGACAGCAGTAAGAAGTGTAATAGGCAGGGGAAGACTGCTGATTCTACCATGTCATCAGTCTTACGTCACTAAGAAGTCACATGAGATGCGCATGCGCAATACCGATCAGTGCAGCCGCCTTTGCCAAAGTCAGTGCTTTACGTAGAGGTGAGTGAACCAAAATATCATTTTTCTCACTCAATGAGAGCCATCCCTGTTTCTTATACCCTACTGATTCTTAAGGCATACGACCTATTTAAATTTTTGCAGGTTTATGCTTTTCCTTGTTGCCTTTTTTCACAGGACAATGATTGAACCTACCAACTACAGCGACGCCCACGAGGTCGCTGCTGAAACTTCCCGTGGAAATTCTCACGGTGAGGACGATATCACAAACAAAGACTTGGCTAAAACGCTCCAGTCCATGAACGAATATATTGGCCAAATTGCAGAAATCTTACTCGAAATAAAACAAAACAACCCCACCGGGGTATCTGGTAAAGCAACATCGTCGTCGAAGCGACGAAAACCAGATCAAACAAGTGACTCTGACACTGATAATGAAGGGCCCGCATCAAAACGGAAAAACGACTCTGATGATAATTTAGGCCTCCACGCTCAGGATGACTTGGACGTCGATAAGGAGGTCCACACGCTCACCGAGCAATCGAAAGCCACCGGCGAAAAAGAGCGGGAAGCGTCCGCTAGTGAAACTCTGTTGCAAGAACTCGCTAACCAGCTCGACGATGACGAAGCCACCGGCGACAAAATCAAAACAGAGCTGGCACAAATAGCACAAAAGCGTTGGGGAAAAACCTTAGCTGCTGCAAAAATTAAATCCTTTGCACAAAAGTACAAAGGCCCTGAAAACTGCACAGCAATAAAGGGAACTAAATCTCATGATCTGCCACTTATCAGGCACAAATTAGACCGATATAAATTGTCACCCTCGGCAACGGAGGTGTTAATGGCTTCGTGGCGAGAGGGCACAACAAAACAATACCAAATATACTTAAAGCGTTGGCAGAGCTTCTGCGAACACAGAAACATTGACATTTATTGCCCAAGAGTTGCCATGGGAATCGAATTCTTAGTTTCTCTATACAGGTCGCGGTTGGGCTACAGCGCAGTTAATACAGCTAGATCTGCACTGTCAGCTACAATCTTATCCGAGGGTATACCATTCGGTGAGCACCCTCTCGTTGTCCGTTGTATGAAAGGCATTTTTGAGTTAAAACCGGCATTACCTAGGTACACGGAAATTTGGGATGTTAATAATGTATTAAATTACCTTAAAAGATTTAGTCCTATTAAGGGCTCCTTAACCCTGAAGGAGCTAACGTTGAATTCAAGCATGTTATTATGTCTAACAACTGGACAAAGAGGACAAACCCTACTTTACATGCACACACGTTCTATTCAGGAACTAGACGATGGCTTCCAAATTATCATAAACGAAAAGCTTAAACAAACTAAGCCAGGTAAACATTTGACTCCCATTAAGGTAATAGCATACCCGGGTGACAAGAGAATCTGCGTCGTGGATTATTTGATGGAATACCTAACCAGGACGAAACCGCTTAGAAAAGAGGTCACTCAGCTATTAATCAGTTATGCTATACCATTTAAACCAGTTACCAAGGATACCATCGCAAGATGGGTCAGAAATGTGCTGGAACAGTCAGGTATAGATGTTAAAAAATACTCCCCGCACAGTAGCAAAGCCGCTTCAACTTCGCATTGTAAAGCCAAAGGACTAACCTTAACAGAGATCATGAAAACTGCTGGATGGTCAAACGCTCGTACTTTTGCACGATATTATGATAAGCCCACACAGATGATGTCAACTTTGGACCAGTTTTGTTGAACTCTACAACCAGTAACTAGAGATTGTTGTACAATATGACAAGTTTTATTCACGTAAAGCTTTGTGGACCCAATAAATTGGACTATTGTTTAAGAGTTCGCTATACAGGTCTTTGAACTCTCATGAGACTCCGTAGTGACGGAAGACTGATGACATGGTAGAATTGTTGATTAAACGAGACTTAAGTTGAAGTTTGATTGGGATTCTACCATGTCATCAGTCCGGAACGAAGGAGTCACATGCCCAGCCCACCCTTCCCGTTCTCCTTCGTTCCCTAGCTCTGTATCACTCACGTTAAAGACTGATCGGTATTGCGCATGCGCATCTCGTGTGACTCCTTCGTTCCGGACTGATGACCTGGTAGAATCCCAATTAAACCTCAACTTACAGGTAAGTCTCGTTCAATCAACAATTACTGGCTATTACTGAAACCCCTGTTTTTACTTGTTGTCTTATCTTCCTTTGATATACAGTGTACATCTAGCGTGGAAAGATACTCATCTTTTGAGAAGAGCATTCCCAAACACCCCAGTATAGGAAGTATAACTTATTCTGAACTCGCCCAATCTAAAATAACATGATTACCTCATGTTTGAGTTTTGCCTTGTCTCTTTTGGCGTCCACTGCCGCCCTGGCACATGCACAGGGCTCTTGCTTTTTTCCTCTACACTGACATGCACCCAGAGTTGCAAGCTGAAAATGAAATGAATAAACAGACAAACAAAAAATGAGAAAACAAAGATTGGGAAGATCCAGTGTTACTGGCCTCCTTAAGGTACATGGCCCTTATTTGGTAAGACAAAATCCATCTAAAACTATCTTTGAATTGAAGTGACAGTGGCAAACTTATGGATACACTGCAAGATAAAATTACAATATACATTGACTGTACTAAAAACCAATGATCCTGTGATTTCAAGAAACAGATTTGAGCCCTCATTCCCACAAGAGTCCTTGCCAATTGATACACCATCATGATACTGAACAATCTGTTTTCCATCAGGATGTGCTAACTCCACAAAATTTGCACATCAAGTTCTGTTCCCACATGACTTGTTCCTACATTTCACATATCCACGAGCTTAAATGAAATTGGATTGACAACGGTGTTCAAAGGTGACCAGGTGTTAAAAAACATAGAATTGGTTTTGAAAAGTTACAGTATTGCCTTCAAAATCTGTTTCACAAAACAATACCTCAACAATCAGATCTCCAGTGGACAAGATTTCTTCCCTCTCTGGAGTGCTCAAATCATATTTGATTCTGTCTCTAACTTCCAAAGCAGCAGCTAGCTCATCACGATCACGCATGAGAGCTGAGAAAAAAAAAATATTTATTGCAAACCAAAAATTTTATTTTCACTGTCCTTCTCAGAAAAATTTTCACATTCAAAAAAATTCCAATCAGTCTATTCAGCTGCCTGACATCAATCCCCATACCACATCTAATGTATCAAAGATAGGCCAGTTCTAAATCTGACCTGCCTCAATAGGATTTAGTGACAAACCAATAAAATACCCATTGCACATAAGGTAAAAACAAAAGTGATCTTTTTTCCACTCATGAAGGTTAACTCAAAGTGTAATCACCATATTGCAATAATTGATATTTACTAATACTGTTAAAGTACTGTCCAACCACAGTTTCTTAATAGAGAAAAGGAGAGTTGTGACATTTAAACATCCAGTGATCAACAACAGATGCCCATATGATGTAGCCTGCAAACAGGCCCCCACTTATAGCTCTACAGGATGTACACTTCTCTGCCTGTGGAATGATTTCAGAAAAGGTTTGCTAGTGGAGAGGTCTGATATCAATTATAATTGCTGGATTCCCTACAGACCTCTCACCAACTCACTCTGGACTCATACTTTTACTTGTAGCTGGCATAGATATGCTTGTGTTGAGACATTAATATTATGGTCTGCTCCCAGGCTATAGCAGAATGCTCTAGAGAAATTAATGTAAATCTTAGAGTTTACATTGCCTATTTCAAGGAACCTCATGGCCAGAAGAATTTGCTCTCAACATTTAACACTCAAGGGACCATCATTGCAAATTACATTTCATTCCACTTACTCATTTTCTCCATTGCAACTTTCCTTAGTTCTTCTGATCTTGTCTGGAGGGTGACCATCAGAGCAGCATTTTCTGTAGCAACCCTATCAAACCTCTCGGCCCATGTTTGTTCATTGTCAAGCAAGTAACTCTGTTTCAGTTCTAGCTCCCACTGAAGAAAATTCACCTCCTAAATCATGTCATCAAAACAATGCAATTGTTGGAACACAAACTGAATATACAGTGCATTGACTTAGGCACTGGAGGATAGTATGGGCATGTTGTATAAACTGATACATTCCCATCAAATTATTCTGTTTTCTTTTGAAAGGAGGGGAGAATAAGATTTGTGATTTAGAATAAAAGACACTGGATAGAACTATCCTAAGTTTCCCATTACCAGTCAGAGTATATATACTTACTATGAATTACTTGTTAACACCCAGTTGATGGTAATACACAATTTTTGATTATAAAATTCTCCACCCTCCTGCACATAATTTTCTTAGAGTTAATGGAAAAATGGTTTCTCACAACTTTCATTTTAAAAGTCTCAATAACCAATCACTCCCAGAGGTGATTGGCATTTAACCTCTCCCAGTCTATAATATTCTATACAATATCCAGCCAATAGGTAATGAGAAATTGTTATCTTAATCTAACACCAAATTCTTGTAACTATTTTACAAGGAAATGTTTTGCAGCTACATGCTTAGGGGAGAATGAACAATCAGAGCTTGGCAGTTAAGGGTAAACAGATATAGTGTATCCTAAAGCGTGTAAATCTTCAGTCAAATGCTTAAGTCAAATTGATCAACAAGAACCTTCTACACTGAACGACTACCAAATTCTAACCTGAGACAATCAACTTAAGTTACATGTAAGAAATGGCAAACAAAGTCACTTGAGAGTATATTTATAAATACCTCTAGTCCAAAAATTTCATCATCAAACTACACCAAAGTTCACTTTGGAAACTTATTTCTGTGACAGTTACCTGCTGAAGTTTCTTGCTTGCTTCCAATGCTTTCCTTGAACACTGTTTTTGATGTGCTTGTTCCAAACGTGACAGACTTTGGATAATTTTAACAGCACCATATTTACTCTGTAGCTGCTGCTGACATACTTCTAAATCCAAAGTTAAATTCTCAATTTCCTGAAAAATAAAATAAATAAGTTACTATCTGCAACTGAAGCTTAGTAGGGTAGCCCAGATGGCCTGAAAACTCCAACAAAATCACCTGCCTTTGATGTCTGATTATTTTGATGAGGATTCCCTCTACCCCTTTGTAGAACTCGGTCACATAAAATTATTTGGCCTTTTCATGCATTGCGAATAATATCCACTATTCTTTCACCTTCATGCAAAATCAAGACAATCACATTTCACATAAAAATAAAATTAGGCCAAATTCATGAATTAAATTAAATTAAATATTTTTACTTTTTCTAGTCTTGACCAGTCTTGACAGGAGATGACTTCATTTCTTATCTTATTTGTTAAAGAACCATGGGTGCACTCTTTTATGACTTTTATCAATTCATGCAAAATCACAGCTATTCAAGAACAATATTTTTGTAAATTTTCAAAACAATAAAATGGCCACAAATTCATCATGCAAAACAAATAGTTCACAAATCACATTATAAATTCAATCAACTTTTCATTCAGACATGGGTCAATTGTTTAATAAGTGAAAAAATCTGTTCTCATGGACATGAAAAGATCTTACCATCTGTAATCATGATTCCCATAACAAAAAAAAGTCAAATCACAATTCAAGAGGAAAAAATTGCCTAATCATGCTTCACAGAAAAAGTATAAGGACCACCTATGATAAATTACAGGCAATTACTGCATGCTAAGAGTGACTAGTTTCTAATTTCTCATTACAATTTAAATATTTGAAGGACATTAAAGACAAAAGTCTCTGTTTGCGTGAAAACAGGCTTGTATCTTTGTCTGTATATATATCATGATTGGTTGAGTTTGCTTACAGTCTATGGTGCCCCTGAGAATTAACCTAATGCATGATTTTCCATGCCATTCCCGTTGTTTGTAGTTTTTGCCATTTTTGCCGAGTTTAGTTTTTTGCCAAGGATTTTAAGGCTAACTTTTAATTGTCACCAGAGAGATCCATGTAACTATGTAAATTGTTGTGGTTGTTTTTTACAAGAATGCAAGGAATCTGGACACATACAAGTAGTTGTGATATATTTAATTTCACCATGCATAGTTGGCCCCTACATTAGACCCTATCTGTTCACAGTTTTGCAAGAGCAGTCTTGGAACAGATAATGTCCATGGGCAAATATCTGTGCATATTTTCATGTAAAGTAGAGCCTGTTTATATATTTCAATTTTGCACCAACTTTAATAATTTACTTTATACCCACTTACTTGTTTGGCTTTCAAAAGTTTGCCTTGAAGGGCATGATACTCGTCATCATCAACTACTGATCTCCTTTCTGTTGTAAACCACACAAAAATGTTAGAAATCAAATTGACAGTAAAAATAGATGGAAAGAAATGTACCACTTGTAGTATCTGGATTCCTATCTATACGGGTCATTGCACACAACATGGCATTGGTTTTGTTTTTGTTTCAATGCAAGGAAATATAGAGCAGATAAAAATTAATGATGATGCATAAACACTTGTAACTAGCTGTCTTTGAAGGAAACTCTAATAACAGTTCAGATTGGCTGCTTTCTGTGAGTCATTGGTTGACACAAAATTTAAGTCACAACAATCCCACTTCTTCTGATGACTGAAAAGTTACAACTTCCTTGGTGTAACATCTACTTTTCTCAAAATTCAGTGAATCTGGAAGATATGATCCAGACCCCTAACTTGTTATAATGGTAACTAAATCATAATAAAGATCCATTAATTTTTATGATTGCAACAAATGAAGGTGTGGTTTCCCTAAAGTACAAAACTCTTAATATTTAATCATCAAAAAATCCATTATTCTATCAGAGGGCTCTCTATAACCCTTTGCCCCTTTGTAAAGCTCAGCCATGGAAAAAAAATATTTAGCCTTTCCACCTTTTCAGATTCAAACAAAATTTGAGATGATTACATTTTGCATAAAAGTAAAGAACCAAATTCACGAATTACTGGATTTTTATTTCTTTTAATCTTGACCAATCTAACATGTAAGTGTAAGTAATGTCTTGTCGTATTTCCTCAAGGACCACTATTGGTCTGTTTTATGACTTTTATCAATCTAAATTAAGTCCACCTCCTGTCAACCCTGGGTCATAACCAAACCATAACCTTTTGAGAACAATATTTATATTTTCAAAACAATTAATGAGGGCAGGAATTCTTCACCCAAACCAAAATCACATATAATTCAGCTATTCATTCACAAGTGAAAATTACATGTAGTTCACGCAAACATGAAAATGTCCTACCATCTTTAATCATGATTCACAAAAAGGAAAATCAAATCACAATTCGAGAGAAAAATAAAATAGCCCGATCATACTCCATGTAAAATGTATAGGGAACCCTCACTGAAAAGAGCTGTCTGATGACTCTTTAAGACACTGCTGAAGAATACCCCCTTGATGCCAAAACTGAAGTGACCGTGATCAACAAACTATTCCTGATGACTCTTTAAGACACTGCTGAAGAATACCCCCTTGATGTGAAAACTGAAGTGACCCTGATGAACAAACTGTCCCTTAATTCTTTCACTCCCACGATCCCATTTCTAATTCTCTCTGCTGTCTCAGCCATACAATTAGTGTGATTTTAGTTTGGAGAATTCTGGTATTGGATCAACCAATAACTCTTAATTGATATTTTGATTATTCTCATCACTTGTCTGCTTGATTTTGTTTGGCTGTTTGTAAGGAGAACTTCTGTCTTGGTCACTGATGGGAGTTAAGAGTTGCAACGAAATTAGTTACCCTCAACTAACCAGCCGGAACATTTACCTGTTACAAATACATTTACCAATTGATTCACTTTTCATAAGTTTTTCCGCGAAGATTTTACCATTTTGAATGGTATCATGCACACATGAGGTTAATCAACCAAATGGATCTGTTCGCCCTTTGAAATATCAACAGAAACAGTCACACACCCAAAACAAAATGTACTGTAAATAATGACCGGTACACGTGTGAAAAAAACACTCTTTCAAAGTTAACCCCACATTAATCGAAACTGGGAATATTTTGAAATCCTGTTTAATATAAATTCTTATTTCAGAGAGCCAATTAATCTCAATAATATATGTTCTTTACATAAATAAACACCGATATGTATTGGAAATTTACTTCAATAAGAATATCAATTTAAGAGTATACGTGTTATCGTAAAAGTAATAATTCAAAATAAACCTCTCGCAGAATTTATCCGCCTTAATCCACGAGCCTTTCCTTTACAACCTTTATGGCCGTCATTGGGTGTACTTTCGCTGCTTGATCTGTTCCTTAACTTGAGAGAAAAACTTCTCTTTGGCAAGTTTTTCAAACTCCATTTGGAGATCCGACTTATCCCACCCTTCATTTCTTTTAATTGTTCTACACTCTCCTGCAAACTGGTTCTCCATGTAAACGGCTTCGATCGGTGCTGGCATTTTTCTCGAGTTTCTTCGGACTGTGTTGTATCTTCTGTGAAAGCCTGAAACAAGTCAAGTATCTCTAATTCGGTGCCAATCGAATCGTCCTCGCATCGTGGCAACCCGCCCGGTTTTAAGCCGAATCCTAGACCCAAATCAACGGAGCAAAGAGACGAAGAATCATCGGACGAGAACGATCTGTGGCTTCCATTAAACTCAATTTCATGAGTTATCCCTGAGGACATTACGACGACGATGAGATGTATAATTCCTGTCCCAACTTAACAGGAGTTAAAAATCTTGTCATAAGCCTTGAGAAGCTCTTAATTAATGTTTTCATGTGCTTTGCGACCACGCCGTGCTACTTAGCAGCCACGTCAGGTATAATATTTAGGATGGAGTGGACTACAGGCACTATGGTTTCTGAATTTACTTGATGGGTGACGTAAAGGACTTCATTCGCGAGTAACTCCCAGAAACGACAGTTTAAATTTTTCTGACACTAGAAAAAAAGGTACGATGATTTTATAAATAAACGCTTTTAGTATAATTTCAGAGCTGAGCAAAGAGTTTCCAGCAATCTGATTGGTCGAGCGGTTCCTTATATTTAACAATTATTCGCCGAAGGCGAGGAAGTCGAGGGGATTACTCGACAATATTCACCGAACCTGAGGCGAATAATTGTTTTAGCATAATTTCAGAGCTGAACAACAGAGAAATTTCTAAAATCATAACATTTTAGTAACATTTATTAACATTTCATATAAACCGAGTAGAGCGGTTTATATAGCGTCATACAAGGAACCGCTAGACCAATCAGATTGCTGGAAACTCTTTGCTCAGCTCTGAAATTATACTAAAAGCGTTTATTTATAAAATCATCGTACCTTTTTTTCTAGTGTCAGAAAAATTTAAACTGTCGTTTCTGGGAGTTACTCGCGAATGAAGTCCTTTACGTCACCCATCAAGTAAATTCAGAAACCATAGTGCCTGTAGTCCACTCCATCCTAAATATTATACCTGACGTGGCTGCTAAGTAGCACGGCGTGGTCGCATAGCACATGAAAACATTAATTAAGAGCTTCTCAAGGCTTATGACAAGATTTTTAACTCCTGTTAAGTTGGGACAGGAATTATACATCTCATCGTCGTCGTAATGTCCTCAGGGATAACTCATGAAATTGAGTTTAATGGAAGCCACAGATCGTTCTCGTCCGATGATTCTTCGTCTCTTTGCTCCGTTGATTTGGGTCTAGGATTCGGCTTAAAACCGGGCGGGTTGCCACGATGCGAGGACGATTCGATTGGCACCGAATTAGAGAAGCGCGAGGGCCGTACTGGGAGAATATCGGCCCGAGGTCTTGACAGTACGGACCGAGCGCAGCGAGGTCCGTACAAAAAGACCGAGGGCCGATATTTTTCCAGTACGGTTCCGAGCAAGCTTGGCTAATAAGAGATGTATCATGCGACTGAAGTTCAAAGGGACACAAGTGCGGTTTCATTCGGGACCATTCGGAACAGTGCCCGGTCCAATACTGAGAGAATATTGACCGGCAATAGAGCATTTTGATTGGTTGATTTTAGCTATTGGCCCTCTGACTGCCCGAGTCGTGTAATAATGTCGAATAATCCCCTCGACTTCGTCTCAGGGATTATTCGACGATATTCACCTTGCCTTCGGCGAATAATTGTTAAATATATGACTAAAACTATGCCTTCCTTCCTTTCATATTCAAATGATACCCGATTCGCATATGAATAAGGATCACGCTTTTAACCTAAAGAAGAATTTTGTGGGCTGGGAACTTAGTTTTAGTGGGTTGTGATGTGGCATTATTCTCAAACCTCACACCCCAAATAAGAAAGTTAGTCTGGGACTGAATGAGCCCCTTGGGGCTGATATTTCTGGAGAATGATGACAAGCATCACACGGTTACGACGATGGTACGGTTATGTCGAAGGGACAGTGCTGCTGACACATCAAAAAACTGAGCGAGGGCATTCAAGCTTAAAATTTTTCTTTTTTTCTGGGCTGTTCCGGTGACCAATCATGGGCCATTCTGTTTGACAGATCCACGTGACCGTTGGTTTCTAAGGACTTTTAACTGGACATCTTTATACCAAATGTTTCAGTTTACTGACACCAGCAGCGTACATAGAGCTAAAACTAATCGATTTGAGAGTCAAAGGACAGTAACGTTGGCAAATCCTACAACAAAGGCGCTGATGGATTTCTTGCACGCTATAACAAAGCTTTATAGACTTGAGCGGGGAACGATGGTCTTAGGGTCTGATTACATGAGCCGAGCTGGCCCGGTTAGCCGGGCTGATTTCTTTTGTTTTCACGCTTTGGCGAACACCAAAACAAAAGAAATCAGCCCGGCTAACAGGGCCAGCCCGGCTCATGTAATCAGGCCCTTAGTCTGCGCTTTTCTCGTCTCGGCAGGTCGGTATGACTTCTTTAAACAAAGGAAATATAGTGATAGACTATCTCCATTACCTCCCCGAGGGGCTCATTGACTCACTGAATTATTACGGCACTATCACTTTCATATATCTCCCAAATTTAAGATTCACAGGTAGCCCACCCAAGGTCGCACAATGAGTCTTCGAAAAGTGGACATAATTATCAATTCTTCACCGAAGTGGAGGGGAATATTGGTGAAAATTCACGAAACCGCTTCGCAGCGCGGTAAATATCCGCCATTTTAACCGACACTGAGGTGAACAACTGTTTTAGTAGATACCCCACATATACCAAAAACTTGTTTATATACTTCAACGTACTGAAAAATGGTGTGGAATTAGACTCTTAACGCGCGATTTCCCCCCTTCGACTGCTCGAGTAAAAAAATGCTTGCTAATCACTTTCGAAATAGCCAATCAGCCAGCGCGAAAAGCACTCTTCACTCGTGCAGTTTATGCATATTATGTTTATGTCGCACACATGGTGAAATAAAAGGATTTTTATACAAATAACCTAAAAATCTAAGCCGATTTAGAGCGAAAACGAAGTTATTCCGCTAATATGTTTGTCTCTTTGAATCCTGTGAGTTTCCTTCGCTGATTCACGGTGGCTGTTTGAACTTCTTGATGAAACCGGAATGGTCACGTGCATATGCATGTTCGTTACGTCATGTTCAATGTGTACCATTCGTGAATATACCCTGCACGTACTGCTCTATATATATTACACTGTTAGTAATAATAACCGACTGGGATATATTAATGATTTTGCTGAATAGTTAAGTTTGTTTTGAATAGTGTATCAACTTCGATAAACGTCCTCTATTACGAAATTCACTTGACACTAACATGAAGCCGTTTTTCTTTGCTTTGTTCTTTCATTTATTATCAGTGTTCTGTTATCGTAAGATAGTTACCTTTTTCCTATTGAAGAACGCACGGCCAAGATAAATGATTAGATGAACACGAGGTAATATGTTTAAGTTGTTAGTTCCCCATGTTAAAACATGCAAATCCGCTGATCAGTTGGCCGAGTTATACTTGGTTCAAATTTAATTTTCCTTCGTTCTCGGTCATGTTAATGTATGATAATGATACGTATGCACGATCCTCGCAGTAGATAGCGCTATTTAAGCAATAGCGAAAATCAGACCTGAAAAAAATCGGGCCTGAAATATATGAACTTCATATATTTCATTGTATCTGTATGATAATGAGTTTGAAACAAAGGAAAATAAAATTTGAACCAAGGATAAAATCATAGTTAGTAGAGGGGACTAACAATGATAAAATTGAACTACAACAAATACATCGTTTTGCGTAATTACTTTTTTCGAGGAAGGAATCATCAACTGAAAAGTAAAAGTTTCTCATATAAAACAATGGTATACTTCATGGTGATATTTTGAAAATGCTCAATGATAAAGAAACTGCGGGAAGGCGGAGTCAATTTATTTGCAGGGCGAACATAGTAATTCAATCCTTGATTTGGTAATTATGTAAAGCGTGTGCTGTGTTCTATTGTTTGACCACAAAGTACATTCATTGTATTGTTTTCATGAACAAATATTATTTTCTGGGGCATAATGGTAAAAGTGAGAGACAGCCTGCATATCAATCATTTCAAAGCATTATTTGTGATATTTGATAGAAAGAGCAATGATACATCTGTCAACAGCCTTCTTTAAGTAAGGATCAAATCGAATGTTGTTCGATGAGCAATAATTGCTAAGAACAAACAAGGGGAGCTTAAATTCACGCCACAGCTGTCTTTTGACATAATTACCGATTAAAAGCTATCGTTAAAAAATATGCAGCGCTACCGAGACGTAACACATATATAGCGACAGAAATACGCGATTCGCGCACTTCCTCCGACAGGAAACCATGGTGAAGGGAAAACCCCTCAGAAACATTGTGAGTGTCAGCAAAACTGAAAATGGAAAAATCCCCAGCTAGTTGCAACTGGAAAATTAAAGCACGTATTCGGATCAATGGCGGACGGAATTTGCAAAGCATGTCAAAGTTTATTCCTTCTTGTCGCACTGCTGAGCGTTTTCAATGGTAGGTTTTTTGATACGCTAGTCTTAAGAGTGTAAAGGTCTTTTCCGTTGTAAATTCAAGGTAGCCAAACCGCTAATCGTGACAGTGTAATCTAATTTATGATTACACCTTACTAAACGGCAGTTGACAGGGTTACCTTGCTTGAATTTCCATAGAAACAAAGTATTTGAGGTTTGCTTCTATTCAACTGTTGCATAAAACTTGAATTTCTGAACCCCGCGAGGAAACATTTTGAGGTTAATTTCGACGGAAGACCCGATGAGTCGAAAATTTTGACAGTCATCATCAAGCCCTAAAAACTTCTATTCATTTGTTTATATGGGTGATGGACAAAGTCCATGGACTGCCCAAATCAGGACTACCCTAATATGGGGTGTTACGAAATTAAAACGAAGACCCTCGAAAAGGAAGACTTAAGACCTAAGACCCGGTCTTCGTTTTCGTAGTACGAAAACGAAGACCCTCTAAACAGAAAAGCGTTGAAATTACAAGTTAAACGCACATTAAACAGTAACAACGCTTAGTAATATAATACATTACACTTCACGCGTTTCTTCCCATTATTATACTGCCCGTATTATTATACTGCCCGTATTATTATACTGCCCGTATCATTATACTGCCCGTATTATTATACTGCCCGTA